GTCGTGCAGGGATGCAGGGAGGGGCTGGGTGGGGAGGGTGGGGAGGGGCTGGGTGGGGAGGGAGGAGCTGGGTGGGGTGGGGAGGGGCTGGGTGGGGAGGGGCTGGGTGGGGAGGGTGGGGAGGGGCTGGGTGGGGAGGGTGGGGAGGGGCTTGGGAGGGGCTGGGTGGGGAGGGTGGGGAGGGGCTGGGTGGGGGGCGGGGTGGGTGGGGCTGGGTGGGGAGGGGCTGGTCACCCCGTGGTGCCCTTATAAAATACTCTTAGGTTTTTTTCGATAAAGTCAAGTAGGTAAAAAATAACATTTAAATTAATAAAAGTAATAATAGAAAATTCATTTTTTTCATATTATTACTTTTATTAATTTTATTTTTTACCTACGTGACTTTCCCGAAAAAACCTAAGAGTATGAATCCTTGCAGTCACGAAAGCTTCAAATCTAGAATTCCCTTATAAAACTCAACGTTTAACCTACTCACGCCGGCTTGTGCCCGCTCTCACAGTCGGGTATATTTGCGGAATACACCACGCCGCCGTTGACCCTGGCCATTGACCGAGCAACCCAACGTTCCTACCAGCTCCCTCCGCAGGAATGTGTCAATTTTTACTGCAGCCTTGCAACGTCTCGTGGTTCTGAATCGCAAAAAAAAAAAATGTGTAATGGTAATAAATACGTCGGGTTTGATGAAACAAGGTAAGTTGTTACGTACGTGCTGGTGCTTAATTTGTTTTGACTTAAAACTTTTCTGACTGCAGGAATTAATATTCTTTGGTTCTTTCGGTAAAGTCACGTAGATAGAAAATATTAATTAAAATAAAGTGAATAAAAATATATATATTTCTATCTACGTGACTAGCGAAAGAACCAAAGAATATGCTTAATTTGTGTTATCGATTATTTACCTTCTAAAAACATCTGGCCGTGTCTCGCACCCCCCCCCCCCCCGGGAAGGGCATCTTGCACCCCCAGGGGATGCGAGATGGCCAGGTGAGTAAGAAGAACCACTGCTCTAGGCGCTTAAAGTGGGGGCCACGGTGGCTAGGAGATGCTAACTACTTCGCCTGGTGTACAGGAGGTCGTGGGTTCGATCCCGACCCTGATGCCTGCTGTATATTTGGAGTTTGCGTGTCTCTCTCATCAACATCACAGTGGCTAGGAGATGTTGACTACCCCGCCCGGTGTGCAGGAGGTCGTGGGGTCGATCCCGACCCTGACGCCGGCTGCTGTATATTTGTAGTTTGCGTGTCTCTCTCTCATCGTCATCACGGTGGCTAGGAGATGTTAACTCCCTCGCCTGGTGTACAGGAGGTCGTGGGTTCGATCCCGACCCTGACGCCTGCTGCTGTATATTTGGAGTTTGCGTGTCTCTCTCATCATCATCACGGTGGCTAGGAGATGTTAACTATCTCGCCTGGTATGCAGGAGGTCGTGGTTTCGATCCCGACTGACGAATGCTGCTGTATATTTTGAGTTTGCGTGTCTCTCCCATCATCATCACGGTGACTAGGAGATGTTAACTACCTCGCCTGGTGTGCAGGAGGTCGTGGGGTCGATCCCGACCCTGACGCCTGCTGCTGTATATTTGGAGTTTGCGTGTCTCTCTCTCTCATCGTCATCACGGTGGCTAGGAGATGTTAACTACCTCGCCTGGTGTACAGGAGGTCGTGGGTTCGATCCCGACCCTGACGTCTGCTGCTGTATATTTTGAGTTTGCGTGTCTCTCTCATCATCATCACGGTGGCTAGGAGATGTTAACTACCTCGCCTGGTATGCAGGAGTTCGTGGGTTCGATCCCGACCCTGACGCCTGCTGCTGTATATTTTGAGTTTGCGTGTCTCTCTCATCATCATCACGGTGGCTATGAGATGTTAACTACCTCGCCTGGTATGCAGGAGGTCGTGGGTTCGATCCCGACCCTGATGCCTGCTGTATATTTTGAGTTGGCGTGTCTCTCTCCCTGTGGTGGTGTGGATTTTTTTTCCGGGTCCTCCGTTTTTTTATGAACATCAAATGCTCACCACTTGATGTGAGCCGTGACCGGTAATCGAACTGGGGTAAGGCAGGTTGAAAATCTCGGTGTGCTAACCGCTGCACCACCGCTCCTTCCTCGCCTACTCATCCCGCCTATCCAAAGCCTAAGTGGAGTTGATCCTAATAGGATGATCGCTGCTTTGTATACATATCTGGTGTGACATCAACATCCAGGGCACTTCCCGATAAGTTAGAACGCTGACATTTGGTACGTAAGGTAGCTTTTAGGACACAAAACAACAGATATAATTTTCAAAAAATCCCAGATTTATCATTTTAAGACCCCCAAATCTCGATTTGAAGTGTTTATGCGTGGCCACGTTCAGAAATCGTTCAAAATTGATTGTTTTTTAGATATTTCGTGTACAAGCGGTTTTTATGATCGAAACACGCATTTCATGATGTTCACATCTGAATAATTCGGAAACGGTAACAGATAGGAGAGCTTCCCCTCGTAGACTAAGTTAAAACATTTTCTTCTTTATAATTACAGAAAAATATCCAAGCCTTTAAATTGAGCGGTTTCCGATGGCTACGTCTCGAAATACAAGAAGTTGAATCAAGTCATCAACCAATTTCGTGTTTTTTTGGCGGAAAAGTAAAACAATTTGGAGCAGTTGTTAGTAGTCTGATCGTAGATACATAACTATTGCAAAACAAATCACAAGTAGTACTAATCGCATATCTGCATTTCCCATAAATATGCTAAATTCCTCTTGATATGCAAATTATTTTGTCAAGGCGCTCTCCCCCCCTCCGTCCCAGCTTAAATAGACACTCCAAGCCTGGGGTGTGTCATTCAGACGCTGTCTTCTCGACAGACCTGTTCTCCACCTGAGGACGGCTGCTTGCGTTGTGGCCGAAACGTCGTGAGAATTATTTTATTATGTTTTATTTTTGTTATTTTATTATTTACATTCTACGTGACTTTACCGAAAGAACCAAGAAGATAAATCATATCAGGTTAATTATTATATCCATTGCAAACTTTTGCCAGGCTTTATGGACTAGTATGTAATATATTTTTATGTTTGGACGATGAGTTGTACCGATAACTACCACGAGGTGGCGCTCACTGATATTAGACCGTGTGGTGGTGGTGGTGGTTGTGGCAATAATGGAACTAGATTTGAAGTTTTCGTGACTGTATGGATCCATACTCTTTGGTTCTTTCGGTAAAGTCACGTAGAAGGGAAATAATAAAATAAAAAATAAAAAAACACAATAAAATACAATACAATTGTACAATACAATTGTATAATAATAAAATAATAAAAATAAAACAATAAAATACAATACAATTGTACAATACAATTGTATTTTATTATGGTTTTTTTTATAATTAATAAAATAATAAAAATAAAACATAATAACATACAATACAATTGTACAATACAATTGTATTTTATTATGTTTATTTGTATTATTTTTATTATTTCCCTTCTACGTGACTTTACCCAGCCGGATACGGGTAGCCGTTTGCGACCCTGGTGCGGCCGGGTACGGGTACGGGTAGGCCGTGAGTCACTGGTGAGTAACTGTTTGTCACTCATTTCCCAACGTCTTGTCTCTTCTCACAATTCAAGTTCCTAGAATAAACCCACCCGCGCCTGCAACATGGCTTCATCCCAGAGGTCGCAATCGGGTACCCGATACCCGTACCCGGCCAGGTACGGGTAGGGTACGGGTACGGCCGGGTACGGGTAGCCGTTTGCGACCCTGGTGCGGCCGGGTACGGGTACGGGTAAGGAATCAAAACCCGTTTGCGACCTCTGGTTAAAAGCTCGAACAGACGCGTGGAAACCCTCCCACGAAGAGGCGGTTCAACCGTGATTCGAAGCTTTCGTGACTGCAGGAATTCACACTCGTTGGTTATTTCGTTAAAGTCACGTGGGTAGATAATAAAATTAATTTAATTTCGATTTAAAGCTTTCGTGACTGCAGGGATTCATCTTCTTGGTTCTTTCGGTAAAGTCACGTAGAATGGAAATAATGAAATAATAAAAATAAAACATAATAAAATCATTCTCACGACGTTTCGGCCACAACGCAAGCAGCCGTCTTCAGGTGAAGAGCAGGTCTGTCGAGAAGACACTGGCCGAAACGTCGTGAGAATTGTATTTTATTATGTTTAATTTTTATTATTTTATTACTTACCTTCTACGTGACTTTACCGAAAGAACCAAGAAGATGAATCCCTGCAGTCACGAAAGCTTTAAATCGAAATGTTTAATTTTTATCTCGACAGACCTGTTCTTCACCTGAAGACGGCTGCTTGCGTTGTGGCCAAAACGTCGTGAGAATTATTTTATTATGTTTTATTTTTATTATTTCATTATTTCCATTCTACGTGACCTTTACCGAAAGAACCAAGAAGAAAAATACAATAAATGACGTTTCGGGCGCAACACGAGCGGTCGGTCATCAATCGGATAAAACAAATCGAATCCAGCAGTTCCACTGAGGACGACCGCTTGCGTTGCGATCGAAACGTCGTCATTCATTTCATTTTATTTCTACCCACGTGACCTTACCGACAGAACGTGGTCACCGCCTCCCTTGCCAATTGCACTCGGGATGGACGCAATGGATCTCGATCACATGCGTGGTCTGAGCTTCGCTTGCCAGTTTCAGGTTCACCGCAACGCCACGGGCTGAAGGCCAGTAGCCCACCACCACCACCACGACCACCACCACCACCACCACGACCACCACCACCACCACCACGACCACCACCACCACCACCACGACGACTACTAAGTAGTGAGACTTCACGCGCAGTCGACAACGATCGTCTCCTGTCGCGATCATGTTCACGTCAAGGACAAGTCAACGAGCACGACTCCTTGTTTGTTTATTTATTTATTATTCTTGCAACTGCCAATCCACTGCTGGATGAAGGCCACGGTTGTGGGGGGCGTGGGGGTGGGGGTGAAAGGGGTGGGGGTGCAAGGGGGGGGGGTGAAAGGGGTGGGGGTTAAAGGGGAGGGGGTGAAATGGGTGGGGGTGAAAGGGGTGGGGGGTGCAAGGGGTGGGGGGGTGAAAGGGGTGGGGGGTGAAAGGGGTGGGGGGTGAAACGGGTGGGGGTGAATGGGGGGGTGAAAGGGGTGGGGGGTGAAACGGGTGGGGGTGAATGGGGGGGTCAAAGGGGTGGGTGGGGTGAAAGGGGTGGGGGTGAAAGTGAGTGGGGGGTGAAAGGGGGGGGGGTCAAAGGGGTGGGGGGGTGAAAGGGGTGGGGGGTGCAAGGGGTGGAGGGGGGGTGAATGGGGGGGTCAAATGGGTGGGGGGTCATGGGGGGGGCTGAAAGTGGGTGGGGAGTGAAAGGGGTGGGGGGTGGAAAGGGGTGGGGTGAAAGGGGTGGGGGGGGGTGAATGGGGGGGGTCAAAGGGGTGGGGGTGGGGGGGGTTAAAGGGGGGGCTAAAAGTGGGTGGGGGATGAAAGGGGGTCGAGGGGGGGTGAAAGGGGGGGGGGTGTTTGACCATACTTCACCACGCGAGTCGAGGTGCAAGTGTGGCGATGGTTGTATGCGGTGCGAGCGGTGCGCTAACCGCGGCGCCACCACTCCGGCCGACGAAAGTGCTTCAACATCATGAACTCAGGGACTGTATAATGTACACACAGGTATAAAGCGTTTTGGTAAGTTTTATATATATATACGTGTGTGCGTAAATTCATTAGCGCGTTCAGGATTGCAATACTGCAAGTGCACACTCGCATTGACAAACCTCTCTAAAGACAAAGTTCCCCCATGTAGCCTTCGGCAGGCTGTACGGGCAAGTTCCGTTCGCGAAGGCCGGGCACGGTCGGCTACGTACGGCGCAAAAGAAGTTCAACATACACACGAGGGGGTGGGTGACCACGGCACCACGCCCGGCCGCCTTTGTCTCCCCAAGTTATGATGTTTACTACACACCGCACCGAGTCGACCTAGGGGAGGCCCAGGACCAGTTCGGAGAATCGTCACCGGTGTTGGCCGTGAGCGGGAATCGAACTCGGGTCGCCGGGTTTGTGGCGCTAACCGCTGCGCCACCGCTCCCCCCTCGACCTCGTCTCTCACACACACACACACAAGATGACAACATCGCTGATAAACGATTATAAAATAGTGTTGAGTGTGTTGCTGATAACGTTTAAAGTATCGATAAGAAACAAGTAACGATGGGAAAATTACCCACGGAGTGATTGCCTCGCGATCACGAGAACGCATTTCGTCTCGACAAATATTGAGGATAATTATCGCAGATTCACTCAACTGCAGATTCTACAGATTCACTGCTGATTCTACAAATTCACTCCACTGGTGATTCTACAGATTAACTGCTGATTCTACAGATTCGCTCCTGATTCTACAGATTCACTCAACTGGTGATTCTACAGATTCACTGTTGATTCTACAGATTCACTGTAGATTCTACAGATTCACTGCTGATTCTACAGATTCACTCAACTGCTGATTCTACAGATTCACTGCTGATTCTACAGATTCACTGCTGATTCTACAGATTCACTCCACTGGTGATTCTACAGATTCGCTGTAGATTCTACAGATTCACTCAACTGGTGATTCTACAGATTCACTGCTGATTCTACAGATTCATTCAACTGGTGATTCTACAGATTCACTCAACTGGTGATTCTACAGATTAACTGCTGATTCTACAGATTCGCTCCTGATTCTACAGATTCACTCAACTGGTGATTCTACAGATTCACTGTTGATTCTACAGATTCACTGTAGATTCTACAGATTCACTGCTGATTCTACAGATTCACTCAACTGCTGATTCTACAGATTCACTGCTGATTCTACAGATTCACTGCTGATTCTACAGATTCACTCCACTGGTGATTCTACAGATTCGCTGTAGATTCTACAGATTCACTCAACTGGTGATTCTACAGATTCACTGCTGATTCTACAGATTCATTCAACTGGTGATTCTACAGATTCACTCAACTGGTGATTCTACAGATTAACTGCTGATTCTACAGATTCACTGCTGATTCTACAGATTCACTCAACTGGTGATTCTACAGATTCACTGTTGATTCTACAGATTCACTCCACTGGTGATTCTACAGATTCACTGTTGATTCTACAGATTCACTGCTGATTCTACAGATTCACTCAACTATTGATTCTACAGATTCACTCCACTGTTGATTCTACAGATTCACTGTTGATTCTACAGATTCACTCCACTGTTGATTCTACAGATTCACTGCTGATTCTACAGATTCACTCAACTGGTGATTCTACAGATTCACTCAACTGGTGATTCTACAGATTCACTGCTGATTCTACAGATTCACTGCTGATTCTACAGATTCACTCAACTGGTGATTCTACAGATTCACTGTTGATTCTACAGATTCACTCCACTGGTGATTCTACAGATTCACTGTTGATTCTACAGATTCACTGCTGATTCTACAGATTCACTCAACTATTGATTCTACAGATTCACTCCACTGTTGATTCTACAGAATCGCTCAACTGTTGATTCTACAGATTCACTCAACTATTGATTCTACAGATTCACTCCACTGTTGATTCTACAGATTCGCTCAACTGTTGATTCTACAGATTCACTCCACTGTTGATTCTACAGATTCACTGCTGATTCTACAGATTCACTCAACTATTGATTCTACAGATTCACTCAACTATTGATTCTACAGATTCACTCAACTATTGATTCTACAGATTCACTCAACTATTGATTCTACAGATTCACTCAACTGCTGATTCTACAGATTCACTGCAGATTCTACATATTCACTCCACTGTGGATTCCACAAAGATAAAGATCCCCCGTGTAGCATTAACAGGCTCTCGGGGCAAGTGCTGTTAGCGAGCATCTACAAAGGCTGGCTCGGCACACGAGGAAGTGGGTGGCCACAGCACCACGCCCGGCCGCCTTTGTCTCCCCCGTGGCGATGTTTTACTACACACCGCACCAGGTACTCATTTGAGGCTGAGTCGACCTAGCGGAGGTCCAGGACCGGTTCAGATAATCGTCACCTGGTGTTCGCGGGAATCGAACTCGGGTTCGCTGGGTTTCGTAGCGCCGTAGCGCTAACCGCTGCACCACCGCTCCCCACTCACCCATTCGCCACGAAGTGACGGTGACGTCACCAGGGCGCCTGTGCCAGGCCAGGTGCACTTTGAGGCTATCGCGTGAAGCGTCGAAGGCTCGCTGCTGACAGGAGGAGGTCTCGGGACAGACCCTGCAGGTGCCATGGGTTGGCTGACTGAGATGACCGGTAGATGCACCACCAGCTGTAACCCCCCTACTGTGCCAGGCTAGGTGCAGGTCTCGGGGCAGACCCCAGGTGGTGCAACGGGTTGGCTGAGTTGACCGGTAGATGCACCACCAGCTGTACCCCCCTACTGTGCCAGGCTAGGTGCATTTTACCCGCCCGGCGCTCCGCTCGTTGTTGTTACCACCACCACCACCGTCACCGTCACCACCTCCATCAAAAGAAACCCCCCACAACTTAAAACTTAATGATTCCGACAAATATAGCCGCATACTTTCGTTCATTCACCGCTTTTGCTCTTTTTGAAAAGTTAACTTTGTTTAATATTCTTCTAGTACTCGAACGCGATACGCCTCCAATGTATATCTATATATAAATGCCGCCTGCCGTATCATTCGTAACGATGGCAAGCGGCGACAGCATTTATTTTCTTTAAACAGCTTGAACAACAACAACAACAACAATAAACAAACAACAACAAACAACCACAACTCACAGCCACTTGCTACTGCTTCATAGCAACCAGTTGAACGCAACTACGGTGATCATAGCGACGGAGGTTGCGAGCAACGGGCGGATGTGGTGGTCGTGGGGTGCGGAATTGCCCTTCCGTTTGTTGACGGTGTTGGGCTGTACTCCCGTGTCACCGGCCCGCTGTTTGACTGCAGGCGCCGAGGTGACGGGAGGAGGTGCCAGACCACCGTTGGATCCTGGATGTTGGGTTGAGGTGGGGGGGGGGTCGTGACACGGGGGGGTGGGGGGGAGGGGTGGGGGGGAGGGAGCAGGGGGGGGGAATGGTGACACGGGGGGGGAGGGGTGGGGGGAGGGGTGAGGGGGCGGGGGGGGGTGGAATGGTGACACGGGGGGTAGGGGGGTGGGGGGAGGCTTGGGGGGGAGGGATAAGGGGGCAGGGGGGGTGGAATCATGACGCGGGGGGTGGGGGGGGGTGGGGGGGGAGGGGTGAGGGGGAGGGATGAGGGAGCAGGGGGGGGTGGAATCATGACGCGGGGGGTGGGGGGGGGGGGGTGGGGGGGGAGGGGTGAGGGGGAGGGATGAGGGAGCAGGGGGGGGTGGAATCGTGACACGGGGGGGGTGGGGGAGAGGGGTGGGGGGGTGAGGGGGCAAGGGGGGTGTGAAATCGTGACACGGGGGGGTGGGGTGAAGGAGCAGGGGGGGTGGATTGGTGACACGGGGGGGGGGGGGGGGTGGGAGGAGGGGTGGGGGCAGAGAGGGGGGGAGTTGAGACGATGTGGGAGCTGCGAGTGATAAGTTTCACGGCGAATAGTTCAGAGAGCGAGAACATTATTCGGAGAGAATGATCCAGCCCGTGTCGTGCCCGTTTAGTGCCCCCTCTATGCAGCCAAACAGAAGCTGCTTTGGCATGCGGTGGCTGGGCATGCGGGCTAAGTGACCCAGCCAACGCAGCCTCGCCTGCCGGAGGAGCTCACTGATGGGAATGTGTCCAGATCTATCAAGGATTTGTGAGCGCCTCGCACAATCCAGCCTGGTTAAACCCAGGACGGATCGTCGGCATGCCAGCCTGAATGTTTATAACGGGCGCAGCTGTTGCATTAGAGGGATCCACGTTTCATAAGCAGAGAGAAGGGATGGCATGACTGTGGCCGAGAAGACCCGAAGCTTCGTGCGGAGCAACAGACCAGGTAGATTCCACACAGCGTTAAACAACCGACGTCAACGTGACACTTTTTTTGCTGATTGGCCGTGTCGGGTGGTGGAGGGTTACGACACATTTATAAATAACGCGATCTAAACCCAAAAACGTTGATTATGAATAATATTGGTCGCGAAAGCCTATGTGTTAAACTAACCGATGAAATTAAAATTAATTAAACTTTTATTAATTTACATTTTTTACCTACGTGACTTTACCGAAAAAACCGAAGAGTATGAATCCTTGCAGTCACGAAAGCTTCAAATCTAGAATTAACCGATGAAAAGCCAATGCCACCTGACTGATTTGGAGACCTCTGCTGTCAAACCGGAGCTGGTCATAAGCGCACTGCCCAGATCTGTGAAACTCTCCACTCTCTACACAACTGCTCCATCACCAATGGGGAGTTGAAAGATTGAGTGAGCAGCAATCACCAGACCAAGAGGGAGACCTCCTTCAACTGCACCCGAGCATCGACCAGCCTCCCATTGTTTATGTACCAGATGGAATTTCCTCCTGTACAGCCATGGAAAGCTTCTCAAACTACGTGGTCAAAGATCATGTTAAATAATGTGGGAGCCAGAGGACATCCCTGTCGCACCCCAAGGTGAACAGGGAATGGCTCTGACTCCTGGCCACGTAGCTTTACCCGTGCCTGCCCACCATCACCAAGGCCCTTAATGATCGTGAGCAGAGTAAGGGACTCCGCAAATACAGAGAACTGTCCACAGCCCTGGCCTGTATATGGTATAATAGGCCTTGACCAGGTTAAGAAAAGCAGAGATGTAAGTCCTGCTGGAATTCCCTACACCTCTGCTGTAGCAGACATAGAGAGAAAATGGCGTCCGCGCAAGACTGCCCTGGTCTGAAACCACATTGGGGCTTCGCAAGCCTCTCCCCAGCGTGCCTTGGCAAGGCAATGTTCAATAATCCTTGCCAGGACCTTTCCCGGCACACTGAGAAGATAGATGCCCCTATAGCTGTTACAATCTGTGCAGTTTCCCTTCTTAAAGACCACCAGGGCATCCTTCAAATCCTGCAGAACCTATCCTGTGTTCGTTAACAGATGTGATGTCATGTAGGGAAGTCTGCACACAGTTTCCACCCTCTCTCAGCATTTCACTTGGAGGATCATCTCTGCCTGGTGCTTTTCCTGGTCTCAGGACCCCGGATCGCCCCTCCTACTTTCTCCACAGATGGCACCTCTGTGGAGAAGGAGTGGCTACTTCTGCCAATGTTTGTTGTACCGCACCTCTAGAAGGGGCATCATCACCTCGCCCCATGACGTTGTCTGAGCTGAGCGAATTCCCTTCCCCCAAGACCTCACAGAAAATGTTCAGCAAACCTACATACCTGTTCCTGGGGGTCGGAGATCGGATGACTGTTCTTTTCCTTAACGGTGGCGCTGCAAATTACTTTTTTGATGGAATCAAAGAGTGATTTGTGATTGTGGGCTACTGAGGCTGAGTCCATCACCTCAGCAAACCCGCACCCACCACTCATCCTTGCAGCGCGTGCAAAGGCTGCGGTGATCCTCATCATTCCCTGATGTTGCAGATGACGTGAGTGGGCCTGTCGTTTTCTCTCAACCAGCCGAAACACCTGCTCCTTCAACCAGGGTTTCTTGGGAAGTCTGGACCGCGTACCCAATGTAGCTATTGCAGCTGCATGGGCCACAGTCCTGAACCTCATCCATTTCCCCTCAGCATCAGAAGGAGGGGGCGGGGGGACGTTGCCAACCCTAGCTGCAAGCGATATTGAAATTCCTGCTTGCAACTATACTCAGCTAGGCTGAGACCAGGCTATTGAGGGTTTGAATGGGGTCTTGGATGGACACCCACCACCGGAGTGGAGGAATGGCAGGCGCATCTTACAAATGATACGTCGATGGTCAGTGCGCAGATCAGCTCCACGGTAGGTCCTGGTGTCAAGGACATGGGCCCGCATCCGCTGTTCCGTCACTATGTAGTCCAGCAGATGTTCTCACTTAGACCTGGCGTGCATCCATCACGTGGTGTGGATGTGCCGCTGCCACAACAGCGTGTGCATAATTACAAGCCCACGGGCTGCACAGAAGTCTAGCAGCCTCCTACCATTATTATTGAGCTGATCTGGCCCATGCCTTCCGATCACTACAACCCAGGTGTCTGCGCCATGACCCACTCAGGCATTAAAGTCACTCAACAGGATGACTCTATCCCGAGGGGCTACTTTAGCTAGCAACTGGGACAGGAGGTTATGGAAGGCGTCCGACTCATTTGCCTTGCCTGCATCCCTCCACTGATGTTCATCTTCGGTGGGGGCATAAGCAACCACCACCATTCCTCTCCTCCCGTTGATGGGGAGGTGAGCCCACCGTAGCCTGGGGCTTGCAGCTTCCCACACCTCACCGCCACGCTCCCTCGTCCCCTTCATTCTTTTGTTCAGAATAAGAGCCACTTCATGTTGTCTGGCAGTCTCCTACCCCGAGTAGAGGACTGTCCACCCTGCATTGTGACTGGAGCCAGAACCAGTCGACCGGACCTCCTGAATACCGCAGAAATCCCAGCAGTACCAGTCCAGCTCCCGACAGAGGAGTGGTAGCCTCTCCTCTGCGGCGAGCGTCCCGAACATTCCACGCAGCCCTTCGCAGTGGTTTTTTTGCCTTTTCTGGAGGAATTCCGAGGGTGCGGATTCAGTCTCCTGGCTCCGCCAAATGGGGTTTGGCCAGGAGACGTCATAGACGCACACACGTACACACGTACATGCACACACGTACACGCGCACACGTACACACGTACACGCACACACGTACACGCACACACGTACACGCACACACGCACACACACACACACGTACACACACACGTACACACACACACACGTACACACAAACACACGTACACACACGTACACACACACGTACACACACACACACGTACACACACGTACACACACACGTACACACACACACACGTACACACACGTGGCACACACACGTGGTACGCACCGTGTCGCCCCCCGCGCTGCGAGCCCTCCACTCCGTTGCCGGACCCCGCGCAGCCATCCTCGTCGTCGCAGTCCCCGCTGGCCCCCTCCCTCGCTCCCCCCCTCGCTCCCCCCCTCGCCCCTCCCCCCCGGCACAGCCAAGCCGCCTTCGCTGGACCGGATCGGCGGCCGCCCCGCCCCCGTGACCCCCCCCGTGCCCCCCGATCCTCCCGCCCGCAGCATCTGAAACGGGGGGAACGGGGGGGGGGGGTAGAGAGGTGGTGGTGGGAGGGAGGGGGATGAGGGGGAGGGGTGAGAAGCGAGGGAGGGGTGAGAAGGGAGGGAGGGGGAGGAGGAAGAAGGGAGGGGGAGGAGGAGGGGGAGGGGTGAGAAGGGAGGGAGGGGGATGAGGGGGAGGGGTGAGAAGCGAGGGAGGGGTGAGAAGGGAGGGAGGGGGAGGAGGAAGAAGGGAGGGGGAGGAGGAGGGGGAGGGGTGAGAAGGGAGGGAGGGGGATGAGGGGGAGGGGTGAGAAGCGAGGGAGGGGTGAGAAGGGAGGGAGGGGGATGAAGGGGAGGGGGGAGAAGGGAGGGAGGGGTGAGAAGGGAGGGAGGGGGAGGAGGAAGAAGGGAGGGGGAGGAGGAGGGGGAGGGGTGAGAAGGGAGGGAGGGGGATGAGGGGGAGGGGTGAGAAGCGAGGGAGGGGTGAGAAGGGAGGGAGGGGGATGAAGGGGAGGGGGGAGAAGGGAGGGAGGGGTGAGAAGGGAGGGAGGGGGAGGAGGAAGAAGGGAGGGGGAGGAGGAGGGGGAGGGGTGAGAAGGGAGGGAGGGGGATGAGGGGGAGGGGTGAGAAGCGAGGGAGGGGTGAGAAGGGAGGGAGGGGGATGAAGGGGAGGGGGGAGAAGGGAGGGAGGGGTGAGAAGGGAGGGAGGGGGATGAAGGGGAGGGGGGAGAAGGGAGGGAGGGGTGAGAAGGGAGGGAGGGGGAGGAGGAAGAAGGGAGGGGGAGGAGGAGGGGGAGGGGGGAGAAGGGAGGGAGGGGGATGAGGGGGAGGGGTGAGAAGCGAGGGAGGGGTGAGAAGGGAGGGAGGGGGATGAAGGGGAGGGGGGAGAAGGGAGGGAGGGGTGAGAAGGGAGGGAGGGGGAGGAGGAAGAAGGGAGGGGGAGGAGGAGGGGGAGGGGGGAGAAGGGAGGGGGGAGAAGGGGGTGTTGTGGGAGGGAGGGGGAAGTAGGGAAGAGGAGTGAGGGGGGAAGAGGAGGAGGGGGAAGGTGGAGGGAGGGAGAGAGTGGCGGGGGTGGGGGGGGGGAGGAGGAGGGAGGGGGAGAAGAGAGGGGGGGATAGGGGGAGGTCGATGAGGAAGAGGGAGAGGGGGGAGAGGAAAGATGGGGGGGGGGTAGAGTAGGAGGGAGGGCGAAGGAGGAGGGAGCAGGTGAGAAAGGAGGAAGAGGGGGGGGGGGGTAGAGTAGGGGGAGGGAGAAGAAGGGCTGGGAGAGTAGGGAGTGGAAGGGGGTGGAGAAGGGGGGGTAGGAGGATGGATGGAGGGTTGGTGGAAAGGATGAGAGGGGAGGGAGTGGGGGGGGAGGAAGGAGGGGGGGGGTGAGAAGGGGCGGGGTAAGAGGGGGAAGGGGGGGCGAGGAGGAGGGAGAGGGGAGGAGGGGTGTCTATGTCTGTGTGGGTGTGTGGTGATTGCTGACAGCATTTGCCCCAACAGCCTGATAAGGCTACACGGGGGATCTTTGTCTTTGTGTGTGTTGGTGTGTATGTGTGTGTGTGGGGAGCGGTGGTGTAGCGGTTAGCGCGCTGCGCTATGAACCCGGCGACACGGGTTCGATTCCCGCTCACGGCCAACACCAGTGACGATTATCTGAACCGGTCTCGGGCCTCCCCTAGGTCGACTCAGCCTCAAATGAGTACCTGGTGCGGTGTGTAAGCATTGCCACTGGGGAGACAAAGGCGGCCGGGCGTGGTGCTGGCCACCCACCCCCTCGTGTGCCGTTGCGGCCTTCATAGGTGCTCGCTAATAGCACTTGCCCCTACAGTCTGTTAAGGCTATACGGGGGATCTTTGTCTTTATCTTTGTGCGGAGGAGCGACGCTCACAACAACGAGCGGAGCGCCGGGTGGCTAAAGCACAGCAAGTTGGCACAGTAGGGGGCACAGGTGGTGCATCGGCCAGTCATCTCGGTCGTCTCGGTCAGTCGACCCGTGGCACCTGCTGGGTCTGCCCCGTGACCTCCTGCCAGCGGGCGTTCGACACTTCACGTGGTAGCCTCAAGGTGCACATGGCCTGGCACAAGCGTTGTGGTGACGTCACCGCCACTTAGTGGCGAATGGCGGTTGTTGTTGTTGTGAGTGGTGTGTGTGTGTGATGGGTGTGTGGTGTGTGTGGGTGTGTGATGGGTGTGTGGTGTGTGGGTGTGGGTGTGTCTCTGTGGGTGTGCGGGTCTGTTTGTGTGGCGTGCCGTGCCGGCATTCATAGGTGCTCGCTAACAGCACTTGCCCCAACAGTCTGTGAAGGCTACACGGGGGATCTTTGTCTTTGTGTGCTCGAGCCGCACCTGATTGAGTTGCTGTAGCTTGTGGGCTATGAGGGTGACGCCGGGCTCCACGGAGCGCACACGCAGCTCCGGGTTGCGCTGCTGCTCCTCCAGGCTCGTGCCAACCACGAGGCGCTGGTAGCTGCAAGGCAAAGGCAAAGGTCTATCCCCACCACCCGTATAGCCTCGATCGACTGTTGGGGCAAGTGCTGTTAGCGAGTAGCACCGCCTTTGAAGGCTGGCACGGCACACGATGGGGTGGGTGGCGAGCGCACGCCTGGCCGAATTGTGTCTCTGTAGTAGCGATGTTTATACCGGTTGAGGCTGAGTCGACCTAGGGGAGGCTCATACGAAGATCAATGAGAATCGCACAGAGAACAATGAGACTCACACAGAACAATGAGACTCGCACATAACAATGAGACTCACACAAAGAACAATGGGACTCACAGAGAACAATTAGGCTCACACAGAGAACAATGAGACTCACACAGAGAACAATGAGATTCACACAGAGAACAATGAGACTCACACAGAGAACAATGGGACTCACACAGAGAACAATGAGACTCACACAGAGCACAATGAGACTCACACAGATAACAATGAGACTCGCACAGAACAATGAGACTCACACACAGAACACTGAGACTCACGACTCACACAGAGAACAATGAGACTCACACAGAGAACAATGAGACTCACACAGAGAACAATGAGACTCGCACAGAGAACAATGAGACTCACACAGAGAACAATGAGACTCACACAGAGAACAATGAGACTCACACAGAGAACAATGAGACTCGCACAGAGAACAATGAGACTCGCACAGAGAACAATGAGACTCACACAGAGAACAATGAGACTCACACAGAGAACAATGAGACTCACACAGAGAACAATGAGACTCGCACAGAGAACAATGAGACTCACACAGAGAACAATGAGACTCACACAGAGAACAATGAGACTCGCACAGAGAACAATGAGACTCGCACAGAGAACAATGAGACTCACACAGAGAACAATGAGACTCGCACAGAGAACAATGAGACTCAGAGAGAACAATGAGACTCACACAGATAACAATGAGACTCACACAGAGAACAATGAGACTCACACAGAGAACAATGAGATTCACACAGAGAACAATGAGATTCACACAGAGAACAATGAGACTCACACAGAGAACAATGAGACTCACAGAGAACAATGAGACTCACACAAATAACAATGAGACTCACACAAATAACAATGAGACTCACACAGAGAACAATGAGACTCACACAGAGAACAATGAGACTCACACAGAGAACAATGAGACTCACACAGAGAACAATCAGACTCACACAGAGAACAATGAGACTCACACAGAGAACAATGAGACTCACACAGAGAACAATGAGACTCACACAGAGAACAATGAGACTCACACAGAGAACAATGAGACTCACACAGAGAACAATGAGACTCACACATATAACAATGAGACTCACACAGAGAACAATGAGACTCACACAGAGAACAATGAGACTCACACAGAGAACAATGAGACTCACACAGAGAACACGGAGAACAATGAGACTCACACAGGGAACAATGAAACTCACACAGATAACAATGAGACTCACACAGAGAACAATGAAACTCACACAGAGAACACATAGAACAATGAGACTCACACAGAGAACAGTGAGACTCACACAGAGAACAATGAGACTCACACAGAGAACAATGAGACTCACACAGAGAACAATGAGACTCAAAGAGAACAATGGGACTCACACAGAGACTCACACAGATAACAATGAGACTCACACAGGGAACAATGAAACTCACACAGATAACAATGAGACTCACACAGAGAACAATGAAACTCACACAGAGAATACATAGAACAATGAGACTCACACAGAGAACAATGGGACTCACACAGAGAACAATGAGACTCACACAGAGAACAATGAGACTCACACAGAGAACAATGAGACTCACATAGAGAACAATGAGGCTCACACAGAGAACAATGAGACTTACAGAGAACAATGAGACTCACACAGAGAACAATGAGATTCACACAGAGAACAATGAGACTCACACAGAGAACAATGAGACTCACACAGAGAACAATGAGACTCACACAGAACAATGAGACTCACACAAAGAACAATGAGACTCACACAGAGAACAATGAGACTCACACAGAGAACAATGAGACTCACACAGAGAACAATGAGACTCACACAGAGAACAATGAAACACACACAGAGAACAATGAGACTCACACAGAGACCAATGAGCTCACACATAGAACAATGAGACTCACACAGAGAACAATGAGTCTCACACAGAGAACAATGAGACTTACACAGAGAACAATGAGACTTACAGAGAACAATGAGACTCACACAGAGAAAAATGAGGCTCACACAGAGAACAATGAGGCTCACACAGAGAACAATGAGGCTCACACAAAGAACAATGAGACTCACACAGAGAACAATGAGACTCACGCAGAGAACAATGAGAATCACACAGAGAACAATGAGACTCGCACAGAGAACAATGAGACTCACGACTCAGACAGAGAACAATGAGACTCACACAGAGAACAATGAGACTCACACAGAGAACAATGAGACTCACACAGAGAACAATGAGACCCACACAGAGAACAATGAGACTCACACAGAGAACAATGAGACTCACACAGAGAACAATGAGACTCACACAGAGAACAATGAGACTCACACAGAGAACAATGAGACTCACACAGAGAACAATGAGACTCACACAGAGAACAATGAGACTCACACAGAGAACAATGAGACTCACACAGAGAACAATGAGACTCACACAGAGAACAATGAGACTCACACAGAGAACAATGAGACTCACACAGAGAACAATGAGACTCACACAGAGAACAATGAGACTCACACAGAGAACAATGAGACTCACACAGAGAACAATGAGACTCACGTACACAAACATACAAAACAAGAACCGTGTGTCTTATAAGTATGGATGACAGTCGCCGAGTGTTTAACACACCCAATGATTAACTCACTCACCCACTGCTCCACCCACTCACCCACTGGTCCACCCACTGCTCCACCCACTCACCCACTGGTCCACCCACTCACCCACTGGTCCATCCACTCAATCACTGGTCCACCCACTCCCCCACCCACTCACCCACTGGTACACCCACTCACCCACTGGTCCACCTACTCACCCACTGCTCCACCCACTCACTCACTGGTCCACCCACTCACCCACTGGTCCACCCACCCACCCACCCACTGCTCTACCCACTCACCCACTGCTCCACCCACTCATCCACTGCTCCACCCACTCATCCATTGCTCCACCCACTCACCCACTGCTCCACCCACTCACCCACTGGTCCACGCACTCACCCACCGCTCCACCCACTCACCCACCGCTCCACCCACTCACCCACTGCTCCACCCACTGACCCACTGCTCCACCCACTCACCCACTGCTCCACCCACTCACTGGTCCACCCACTCACTCACTGCTCCACCCACTCACCCATTGCCCCACCCACTCATCCATTGCTCTACCCACTGCTCCACCCACACACCCACTGCTCCACCCACTCTCCTACCGCTCCACCCACTCACCCAGTGCTCCACCCACTCACCCACTGCCCCACCCACTCATCCACTCATCCATTGCTCTACCCACTGCTCCACCCACACACCCACTGGTCCACCCACCCACCCACCCCCTCACCTCTCCACCACCTCGTTCCCGTCCCAGCAGAGGGAGCCGTCGGGCGCGGCGAACTGCGTCTCGCAGAGTCGCTCCGGCAGCGTGGCATAGAAGCCCTCGTACACGGGCAGGCTCTTCCTGAACTCCCTGCAAAGACAAAGGTCCCCCGTGTAGCCTCAACTGATTGCCGGGGCAAGTGCCGTGAGCGAGTTGCAGCAACCTACGGAGGGCCGGCAGCGTGGCTTAGAATCCCTCTTACGCCGGGAGGCTCTTTTTGAACTCCCTGCAAAGACAAAGGTCCCCCGCGTAGCCTCAAATGATTGCCGGGGCAAGTGCCGTGAGCGAGTTGCAGCAACCTACGGAGGGCCGGCAGCGTGGCTTAGAAACCCTCTTACGCCGGGAGGCTTTTTTTGAACTCCCTGCAAAGACAAAGGTCCCCCGTGTAGCCTCGATCTATTGGTGGGGCAAGTGCCGTGAGCGCGTTGAATGCAACCTTTGAAGGGCCGGAACGGCACAGTAGGAAGCACAGGTGGTGCATCAGCCAGTCGTCTCAGTCAGTCGACCCGTGGCACCTGCTGGGTTAGCCCCGTGACCTCCTGCCAGCGGGCGTTCGACACTTCACGTGGCCTCAAGGTGCACATGGCCTGGCACAAGCGTCGTGGTGACGTCACCGCCACTTAGTGGCGAATGGCGGTTGTTGTTGTTGTTGTGTGTGTGTGCGTGTGGGGAGCAGTGGCATAGTGGTTAGCGCTAAGCTGCGCTACGAACCCGGCCGCCCAAGTTCGATTCCCGCTCACGGCTAACACCGGTGACGATGATCTGAACCGATCCCAGGCCTGCCCTAGGTTGACTCAGCCTCAAATGAGTACCTAGTGTGGTGTGTAGTAAACCTCGCCACTGGGGAGACAAAGGCGGCCGGGCGTGGTGCTGGCCACCCACCCCCTCGTGTGCCGTGCCGGCCTTCACAGGTGCTCGCTAACAGCACTTGCCCCAACAGTCTGTCACAGCCTACACGGGGGGTCATTGTCTTCGTACGAACACAAAGACAAAGATCCCCCGTGTAGCCTTTCACAGACTGTCGGGGCAAGTGCTGCTAACCTATGAAGGCCGGCACGGCACACGAGGGGGTGGGTGGCCAGCACCACGCCCGGCCGCCTTTGTCTCCCCAGTGGCGATGCTTACGACACACAGCACGAGGGACTCATTTGAGGCCGAGTCGACCTTAGGGGGAGGGGGGGGCAGGACCGGTTCAGGTCGTCGTCAGCGGTGTTGGCCGTGAACGGGAGTCGAACTCTGGGGGGGTCTCTCTGCCCAGTGACGGATACTCAGCGAAACGTTGCGGTCAGTCTCATAGTCAGTACCCTCGCACCCCCAGCCCAAACATCATACAACACACACCACACACACACACACACCACACACACTACACACACACACCACACACACCACACACACAAAGCACACATCACACACTACACCATACACACCACACACACCACACACACCACACACACACACCACACACACACCACACACACCACACACCACACACACACCACACACAACACACACACACCACACCACACACACCACACACCACACACACACACCACACACACCACACACCCACCACACACACACACCACACACACCACACACACACACCACATACACCACACGCCAATGCTTCACACACCCACACACACCACACACACACCACACACACACACCACACACACACACCACACACACACACCACACATACATCCCACACACACCACACAGACCACACCACACCACACACACACACCACACACACACCAGGTACACAACACACACACACCACACACACACCACACACTCCACACACACCACATCCACCACACACACACCACACACACACCACACACACCGCACACACACACCAACCACACACCACACGCACCAACCCCCCCCCCCCCCCCCCCCCCGTGGCTTCAAGTAAACACAGAACCACGTCAAGGCGGCGGCAGCAGCAGCAGCAAGAGAGGCGAAGCTCAACAACATCCATCAAGGACGCTGCCCCGTGACACAAACAGGAGATGCCGTGTCACGGTCCACCCGCTCTCGCTCCACTGCTGGATGACTCACTCACTCACTCACCCATTCACTCACATACACCCCCCCACCCCACATGCTCACCCACTCACTCATCCACACACCCACCCACACACTCACCCGCCTACACACTCACCCATCCACTCACCCACACACGCACAGGCACATCTACCCGCACACTCACTCACCCACACACTTACCCACACGCTCGCCCACTCACTCATCCACCCGCTCACCCACTCACTCAACCAGTCACTTACTTAATCCACCCACTCATTCACCCACCTACCCACTCGCCCACTCACCCACCCACCCACACACTCGCCCATTCACTCAACGACTCACCCATCCACCCACTCTCCCACTCGCCCACTCGCTCATCCACCCACTCAACCACTCATCCATCCACTCAACCCCTCACCCACCCACACACCCACTCATTCACTCACCCACTCACACTCACTCAACCACTCACCCAGCCACTCACCCACTCATCCACTCACCCACTCATCCACTCACCCACTCATCCACTCATCCACTCAACCACGCACTTCAGAATCAGAAGAACCAGGGGTGTATTTCCCGCCGAGTAAAGCCGTGAATCTAAGAAGCTCTTTCTTATCCTAGGGCTGACTCGGCCGGCAGACAACATCAAAGCATTCCGCAAATGTACAGACCATATATATGTGTTTTTCTTAAACAAACAAACTTAACGATAACAGCGAATGTGGTGGAACATTACAATTTGCACTTCTTAAACTTGAGCGATTTTATTTCTAAACAAGTCGGGTTTAGATGAGGACAGAGATGGGGGGGGGGGTGAGTGGGGGGCGAAATTTCGTCGGTTCCGAAACACTTCGGGGGCATACGAAACCAACGCCGCTGCTGGGCCCTCCGCCAGGTCGGCTCAGCCTTAAATGAGTACCTGTACCTGGCGCGGTGAGTCGATTGAAAACTCATTTCTTGAAGCGCTGCGTGTTAAGTTTGCTCTCATTCCCACGCAGCTCCCATTAGCAGGGTTGGCTACCTGCCAACATACACACGTGGCCTGCAATTCGCTACGAAGTGGCGGTGACGTCACCACGGCAGCTTGTGCCAGGCTAGGTGCACTCCGCCGAGGGAGGCCACGTGAAGAAGTGTCGAAGGCTCGCTGAGAGGTCACGGGACAGACCCAGGTGGTGCCATGGGTTGACTGCTGTGCCAGGCTAGGTGCAGGAGGTCACAGGACAGACCCAGGAGGTGCCATGGGTTGACTGCTATGCCAAGCTAGGTGCAGGAGGTCACGGGGCAGACCCAGGTGGTGCCATGGGTTGACTGCTGTGCCAGGCTAGGTGCAGGAGGTCACGGGACAGACCCAGGTGGTGCCATGGGTCGACTGCTGTGCCAGGCCTCGGTGCAGGAGGAGGTCACGGGACAGACCCAGGTGGTGCCATGGGTCGACTGCTGTGCCAGGCTAGGTGCAGGAGGTCACGGGACAGACCCAAGTGGTGCCATGGGTTGACTGCTGTGCCAGGCTAGGTGCAGGAGGAGGTCACGGGACAGACCCAGGTGGTGCCATAGGTCGACTGCTGTGCCAGGCTAGGTGCAGGAGGTCACGGGACAGACCCAAGTGGTGCCATGGGTTGACTGCTGTGCCAGGCTAGGTGCAGGAGGAGGTCACGGGACAGACTCAGGTGGTGCCATGGGTTGACTGCTGTGCCAGGCTAGGTGCAGGAGGAGGTCACGGGACAGACACAGGTGGTGCCATGGGTTGACTGCTATGCCAGGCTAGGTGCAGAAAGTCGCGAGTTCGATTCCCGCTCACGGCCACCAACACCAGGTGACGATTATCTGAAGCGGACCTGGGGCCCTTTCCCTAGGTCGACTCAGCCTCGAATGAGTACCTGGGGCGGTGTTGTGGTAAACATCGCCACTGGGGAGACAAAGGCGGCCGGAACGTGGTCGCTAGCGGCCTTCGTGAGCCGCTGCTGCTATCCGCTACGAACAGCACTTGTCCCCAACAGTCTGTTAAAGGCTATACGGGGGATCTTTGTCTTTGTTACTCACAGCAAGAGGTTCCGCAGGGAGCGTGGCTTCTTGGGGCGGTCCAGCCACAGCGGCAGATCGCTGTGAGACACACACACACAGACACACACAGACACACACACACAGACACACACACACAGACACACACAGACACAGACACACAGACACACACAGACACACACACACAGACACACACACACAGACACACACACACAGACACACACACACAGACACACACACACACAGACACACACAGACACACACACACAGACACACACACAGACACACACACACAGACACACACAGACACACACACACAGACACACACACAGACACACACACACAGACAAACACACAGACAAACACACAGACACACACAGACACACACACAGACACACACACAGACACAAACACACAGACACACACACACAGACACGCGCACACACACACGCACGCACACACACGCACATTCGTACGCACAGAGAGACACAATGTAAGGAAGTTGGGTGAAAAAGATGACACTGCTTGATATGGCAACAGCTGTAGCACAAAAACACAGCAGCTGCATAAGAGTCAACAAGAGCAGCAGAAACAGCAACAGCGTTATCAGCAGTAGAAGCAGCAGCAGCAGTGATAGAGACACCCTGACCCAGGGCTCGAACCCAGGATCATAACAGCAACAGTAGCAACAGCAACATCGTTATCAGCAGTAGAAGCAGCAGCAGCAGCAGTGATAGAGACACCCAGACCCAGGGCTCGAACCCAGGATCATAACAGCAACAGTAGCAACAGCAACAGCGTTATCAGCAGTAGAAGCAGCAGCAGCAGCAGTGATAGAGACACCCGGACCCAGGGCTCGAACCCAGGATCACAGCAGCAGTAGCAACAGTGTTATCAGCAGTAGAAGCAGCAGCAGCAGTGATAGAGACACCCAGACCCAGGGATCGAACCCAGGATCATAACAGCAACAGTAGCAACAGCAACAGCGTTATCAGCAGTAGAAGCAGCAGCAGCAGCAATGATAGAGACACCCTGACCCAGGGCTCGAACCCAGGATCATAACAGCAACAGTTGCAACAGCAACAGTGTTATCAGCAGTAGAAGCAGCAGCAGCAGCAGTGATAGAGACACCCTGACCCAGGGCTCGAACCCAGGATCATATCAGCAGCAGTAGCAACAGCAACAGCGTTATCAGCAGTAGAAGCAGCAGCAGCAGCAGTGATAGAGACACCCTGACCCAGGGATCGAACCCAGGATCATAACAGCAACAGTAGCAGCAGCAACAGCGTTATCAGCAGTAGAAGCAGCAGCAGCAGTGATAGAGACACCCTGATCCAGGGCTCGAACCCAGGATCATATCAGCAGCAGTAGCAACAGTGTTATCAGCAGTAGAAGCAGCAGCAGCAGCAATGATAGAGACACCCTGACCCAGGGCTCGAACCCAGGATCATAACAGCAACAGTAGCAACAGCAACAGTGTTATCAGCAGTAGAAGCAGCAGCAGCAGCAGTGATAGAGACACCCTGACCCAGGGCTCGAACCCAGGATCATAACAGCAACAGTAGCAGCAGCAACAGCGTTATCAGCAGTAGAAGCAGCAGCAGCAGTGATAGAGACACCCAGACCCAGGGCTCGAACCCAGGATCATATCAGCAGCAGTAGCAACAGCAACAGTGTTATCAGCAGTAGAAGCAGCAGCAGCAGCAGTGATAGAGACACCCTGACCCAGGGCTCGAACCCAGGATCATAACAGCAACAGTAGCAGCAGCAACAGCGTTATCAGCAGTAGAAGCAGCAGCAGCAATGATAGAGACACCCAGACCCAGGGCTCGAACCCAGGATCATATCAGCAGCAGTAGCAACAGCAACAGTGTTATAAGCAATAGAAGCAGCAGCAGCAGCAGTGATAGAGACACCCAGACCCGGGGCCCAGAAAAAAAAATCTAAATTTTAAAACTAATTTCCTGGCTAAAATATGTAAAAAGTTCACTAACACATAGGATGGAATTTTTAGTTAATTTTTACAATAATGTCTAATAGTTTATTGTATTACATTGCTCTGTTTTTTTATTTTTTTACCTTTTCTCGTTTCACTGTATGTCATGGCGGAGATTAGGGATACGTAAAGTACAACCAAAACCACAATCATATGAACACAAATCTATTTTATAGCAATATATTGGGGGAGGGGGGGGGACATTATGAGCATATTTGAATATTGGGGGGCGGGGGGAGATGTGTGTGTCCTTCCCCCCAATAAAAATATGATGATTACGGCCTTGGCTTCACCTGAATCTGGCGTTCGTGATGGGAGGCCGCGTCTGCTCAGCGGCGAGAGACGTGAAGTCCTTGTCCTGATCAACGCCCCCCGCTCCGGCGGGCGGAGGTGGCCCACACGACTGAGCCACCTGCAAACACAGAGGACACATCATCAACAACATCATCAGCATCAGCAGCATCAGCAGCATCATCAGCAGCATCAGCAGCAGCAACATCATCATCGCCGTCAACAACATCATCATAATGAGCGGCATAATCATGATCAGCAGTAGCAGCAGCAGCATCATCAGCAGCATCAGCAGCATCATCAGCAGCATCATCAACAACATCATTAGCATCAGCATCATCAGCACCAGCATCAGCAGCAGCAGCATCATCATCGTCATCAACAACATCATCATAATGAGCGGCATAATCATGATCAGCAGTAGCAGCAGCATCATCATCAGCAGCATCAGCAGCATCAACATCATCAGCAGCATCATCAACAACATCATTAGCATCAGCATCATCAGCAGCAGCATCAGCAGCAGCATCATCGCCATCAACAACATCATCATAATGAGCGGCATAATCATGATCAGCAGTAGCAGCATCAGCATGATCTTCAGCATGATCATCAACATCATCATCAGCAGCAGCAGCAGCATCAGCAGCAGTAGCAGCATCATCAGCAGCATCAGCAGCAGCATCATCGTCATCAACAACATCATCATAATCAGCAGCATAATCATGATCAGCAGCAGCAGCATCAGCATGATCATCAGCATGATCATCAGCAGCAGCAACATCAGCAGCAGCATCATCAGCATCATTAGCATCAGCAGCAGCATCATCAGCAGCAGCAGCATCAGCAGCAGCATCAGCAGCAACATCATCATCATCAACTACATCATCATAATCAGCAGCATTATTATGATCAGCAGCATCATCAGCATGATCATCATCATCATCAACAGCAACATCAGCAGCATCAGCAGCAGTAGCAGCATCATCAGCATTCGTTGTGAAAACCCAACGCAGAACATCCCTCTGAGTTTTGATGATGATACACTCACTACTCTGCTACTGATGATGATGATACACTCACTACTCTGCTACTGAAAATGATGATACACTCACTACTCTGCTGCTGCTGATGATGATGATACACAGACTACTCCGCTGGCTCCTGACGACGCGGTTACTATCTGAGCTTGACATAGCTAGAATTGTGACATTGTAGCTGCTGCTCTGCATCAACATCAGCATCCATGCGGAAGAGGAAGCATCACCATCAATTATCACGAATGATCGATCATGATCGTCATCAGCAATTATCACCAATCATCGAACATGATCATCATCGTCAATTATCACGAACCATTAATCATCATCATCGTCAATTATCACGAATCATCGATCAGGATCATCATCAATTATCACGAACCATCGATCATCATCAGTTATCACGAATCATCGATCATCATAAATTATCACGAACCATCGATCATCATCAGTTATCACGAATCATCGATCATCATAAATTATCACGAATCATCGATCATCATCATGATCATGACCATCATAAATTATCACGATTCATCGACCACGATCGCGATGATCATCACCAGGGTCATCAGTACCCAGTCGTGTGCTGATACTCATGAAGCTGGCCGAGCAGGTGAGAGCGTTGCAGTTTAAAAGGGTAAAAACCCACTACTATATTTTGCCACTGGTAAAAGATATCTCATAGTGTAAATGCTTACCCCGAGCTCTCAATACACTGATATTGCACTGTGTTTGAGTTGTACGCCTTCTGGTGTCATCTGGTCCAACAACAATGGGGACTAGGCTCTAAAGAAAGCCGTCTCGGGTGTGGACCAATCAACTTCAAGGACAGTGCATATTATTATCATTATCAGAGTTGCTTCTTTTTGTTAGCTTTTTTGACTACTTGTGTTGTGGTTATTGCAAACATGATGCCTTGAATAAAGGCGTCAGTTTTGTACCAGTTTAAAAGGGTAAAAACCTACTACTATAGCGTTACAGAGCTTCGCTGGTTCGAAATCCAACGCCCGCCCTGGTTAATACTGCGGCCGTGTGTGCAGTAACGGGGAGTGTGGGGGGGGTGGGCGTGAGAGGGGAGGGGAGTGCGAAGGGGGGGGGGGGTGTTGTCTGGAGGGGGGTGGTGGCCGCGCTGGGTATTTGAATAAACAGATTGGTTTGGGGAAAACGAGCGCACTTCCCCAACTCCTGACAGCCTCACGCAAACACGCGCCTCGCACAGCTGCCAGTAGTCCACGCGTGCGTACGCAGAGTGCACGAACCCTTGTTGACACAGTGGGTTCATGCACGTAGGCTGATGCAGTTCCACTACATACACCGTGGGTTGTACAGATTCACCGCGACGTAGACTCTAGAGATCCCACAAACACAATGATTTACACCATTGGAACCTCATTTGCCAGTAAAAAAATATGATGATTGGTTTTTTTACCCTTCTATCTGGCAACAAAACTGACACTTTTTTTTACAAGGAGTCATGTTTGCATTGACCACAATACCTGCAGTCGTAATGCAAACAAAAAACATAACTCTGATAATATATGCACTAAATTTCGATTTAAAGCTTTCGTGACTGCAGGGATTCATCTTCTTGGTTCTTTCGGTAAAGTCACGTAGAATGTAAATAATAAAATAATAAAATAAAACAAGCAGCCGTTCTCAGGTGAAGACCAGGTCTGACAGACGCTGTCTCCCCGACAGACCTGGTCTTCACCTGAGGACGGCTGCTTGCGTTGTGGCCGAAACGTCGTGAGAATTATTTAATAATGTTTTATTTTATTATTTTATTATTTCCATTCTACGTGACTTTACCGAATATATGCACTGTCCGTGAAGTTGATTGGTCCACACCCGAGACAGCTTTCCTTAGAGCCTAGTCTCACATGGGTTGGAAAAAAAAAACAATTATCAAACACAATGATGATGATAATGAGTCGATCGTGGGGATGCTCAGGACCGATTCAGATAATCGTCAACGGCGTTGGCCGTGAGCGGGAATCGAACTCGCGACGTTGGGTTCGTAGCGCAGAGTAACGCTCGCCGCTACGCCGCCGCTGATCACACACAGACACACAAACTCGCAAGAAAAGATCCCCCGTGTAGCCTTCACAGACTGTTGGGGTAAGTGCTGTTAGCGAGCACCTATGAAGGCCGGCACGGCACGCTGACGTAGACTCACACACACACAGACCACACACACCACACACACAAACTCACACACACACACAGACCCACACACACACCACACACACAGACCCACACACATACCACACACCCACCACACACACACCACACACACACCAGTCACAACAACAACCGCCATTCGCCACTAAGTGGCGGTGACGTCACCACGACGCTTGTGCCAGGCTATGTGCACCTTGAGGCCACGTGAAGTGTCGAACGCCCGCTGGCAAGAGGTCACGGGGCAGACCCAGATGCCACAGGTCGACTGACTGAGATGACCGAGATGACTGGCTGATGCACCACCTGTGCCCCCTAATGTGCCAACTTGCTGTGCTTTAGCCACCCGGCGCTCCGCTCGTTGTTGTGAGCGTCGCTCCTCCCCCCTCCGTTGTTGTTGGAGAGCGACTGTCTCCAACTGCCCAGTAGCCTTGCCTACAGGAGAAGCTCACCGATGGGACTTTGTCCAGATCTTTCGAGGATTTGTGAGCTCCTCACACAATCCAGCCTGGTTAAACCCACACACACATACCACACACACACACCCACACACACAGACCCACACACCCACACACACACCACCCACACACACAGACCCACACACCCACACACATACCACCCACACACACAGACCCACACACCCACACACCACACACACACACACCACCCACACACACACCACCCACACACACAGACCCACACACCCACACACATACCACCCACACACACACCACCCACACACACAGACCCACACACCCACACACACACCACCCACACACACACACCACACACACACCACACACACACCACCCACACACACACCACCCACACACACAGACCCACACACACACACACACACCACACCACACACACCACCCACACACACAGACCCACACACACACACCCACACACACCACACCACACACCCACACACACACCACGCACACACACATCACACACACCACACACACCACACACACACACCACACCACACACCACACACACCACACCACACATCCACACACAGACCCCCACACACCACCCACACACACACACCACACACATCACACACACCACCCACACCACGCACACACACCACACACACCCACACACACCACACCACACATCCACACACAGACCCCCACACACCACACCACACACACCACACACACAGGCCGGGAGTCGCCACACGTGGCCTGCGCCGAGACTCTCCCAGTGAGCACGTGCGTGACCCTTGCCTGCCGGGTGACGTTATCGCAACTTTCCAGCGAGCGGTGGTACAATGTCCCTCCCCACCTCCCTCCCACCCTCCCCACCTCCCTCCCACCGCTCCTCCGCCCTCCGTTGTTGCTGAAGGGCGACTGCCTCCAACTGCCCAATAGCGTCCTGCACGAGCCTCCTCCGCAGAGGCCGATCTTGACACCGCTGGTACCAGTCATCGGCAAGTCCACTCAGCTCCACGTCCTCCTGTACCACATCACTCCATCTCTTCTCTAGCCCGTGCCGCGCCCGTTTAGCCCCCTCGATCCGGCCGAACAAAAGCTGTTTAGGCATGCGGTGGCTGGGCATGCGGGCTACATGACTCAGCCAACACAGCCTTGTCTGCCGGAGGAGCTCACCGATGGGACTTTGCCCAGATCTTTCAAGGATTTGTGAGCTCCTCACACAATCCAGCCTGGTTAAACCCAGGATGGATCGTAGGCAGGCCAGCCTAAATGTTTCCAACCGGCGAAGATGCTCCATTAGGGGGGTCCACGTTTCGCAAGGGTAGAGAAGGGAGGGAATGACTGTGGCCGAGAAGACCTGAAGCTTTGTGCGGAGCGACAGACCAGGTAGCTTCCACACAGCGTTACGCAACCGATGAAAAGATATTGCCGCTCAACTGATTCGGAGTGAGACC